ACGACCTTTGGAATACTAGCCCAATGCTCTGTCAACTGAGATACGCGGTCAGGACGGTTCGCGTATGCGATATTTCGGAACTGAGTCTAGTTCCTTCAATATCAGTGTAATCTAATAATCATGAAATCTACTGTGTTGGTGTAATGTACTCAGGTGAATAAGGGGCCGACCATTTGACTTTTGAGGGGGGCGGGGGGGGTGGAAGATTTAGAAAACAAATTTCCTGCAACCCAAGGAGAAAGAAAAAAAAAATCATGCAGCAGACAATCGAGAAAAAAAAATATCATGCAAAAGAGAGCGCTCAAAAAAAAATTTTCTACATGTAACTCTATTGATGCCTTCACTTCAGTATTGTGTCCACAGGCTTGCACGATTTTGCATTTTTGAGCAGGCACATTTGCTTAAAAGAACACGGGGTGAACAGTGGATAACATCACAGGGATTCTACCGCCTTTGGAGCCTCTGACATACGATAGCCAGTGGTGTTCCCTGGCAAAATTGTTGCCCCCCCCCCTGAGAAAATCTGGGCTTAAGATAATTATCCATGGCTGAAAACGCAGGAAATAGCATTTCCGAGGTTCAAATTTTAAAATTTTCTCGGGGGAGCATGCCCCGAACCCCCCAAGGTTACAGGTCATTCATATACTGTACCCTCCCCCATTTTCGAGTACTCTACTCTATCCCTGCATGTTTTAGGTTTTGGTGCAGTTATACATTCTTTGTAAGTAAACTTGCACGCTTTAGTGTGGGGAACATTAAGACATAACCATATATAAAATAAAGCACAGTGAAAATTCCTTGGCCCCTCTTGGGATTCAGTTCTCGGCCTCCTCTGACTGAAAACCCCTGCTACGTCTCCGATGATAGCTATATGAAAGCCTAAAGTTACTGTAAGCCGTTATTATGAGAGGCAAAAAAAATATCCTGCGGCCAAATATATTGGGAAAAAAATATCTTGCGCAGCACTTTTACAGGAAAAAAATATCTGTCTCATTCGCCTGGGCGGAAAAAAAATTCTTGCACAGACTGAATCTTCCACCCCCCGCCCCCCCACCCCCCGTCAAAAATCAAATGGTCCGCCCCTTATAAGAAGTATTAAAGATTTATTTACGACTATTTACATATGAGAAAAAAAAAATTAGTAATGAATATACAATTACAATTTAATAAATATCAACAATTTATACAAAATAGATCTTCGATATGCATGGTTAGTACTGGTTAAGCTTGCTAAGAAAGATTTCACGAATTTTTTGTTTGGCGTTAGTATATGAAGAGCAAGATGGCGAAGAAGCAAGTTGCTTACAATCGCTATCTAAGCAATTAAAAAGAATGGAAGCACTGTACAGGAATAGGAAAAAAAATGAAATGAAATGGACTCAATCTATGCGGCTCCTTCCTAAATAAACCTTTGCCTGGAAAAATCGAGAAACATGGAAAAAATTCAAGGATTCATGTAGTTTCGTTTGGCCAAATGGTCCATACCGTATTTACTCGTTTGAGCGCCGCGGCGCTCTTTAAATTTTCAGAGCTTCAGATGCGGCGCTCATTCGGGGGCGGCGCTCAATCGGGGGCGGCGCTCTTTAAAAAATCTTTTATTTGTGAATTATAAATAGAACTTTCAACAATAAAATAAACAAGTTTTAAAAGCGGGTTTTTGTCATTAAATGTCCCCATTTTGACGGTGGAAAGTTTTTACACAGTTTAGTGCGGCGCACATTCGGGGGCGGCGCTCTTTAAAAAAAATTGATCTCAAATGCGGCGCTCATTCGGGGACGGCGCTCAATCGGGGGCGGCGCTCAATCGAGTAAATACGGTATATGTATTTGAATGCTAATTCAAATGGAGCAAACAAGTTATTAATATACTGTACGTACAAAGGCCAGCAGAGTCAACAGAATGCTGGGATTAGTTGTTTACAACATTCGCGGCCGTGTTGTATCGGCCGGATATACAAACTCTCGCCTTCGGCTCGAGTTTGTATATCCGATACAACACGGCCGCGAATGTTGTAAACATTACTTACACACGTAAAAACTCACATCTTGTAGCAAGATGTATTCGCACTGCTTGTCACAAGTTGTCAACAGGTTTGGAACAACTTGTTGACAACGTGTAACAACCTTGTCGAAATTATCAGACTTTTTGCAAGGTTGTTCTGACAAGTCCGTTACATGCTTGATATAACAAGATTGTTACATCCTTGTGTTGACAACCTTGTAACATCGTTGTTATATGATGGCTGTAACAAACGTGTTAGCACAGTCTTGTAACAAGGCTGATAATGCCATCAAGCTTGTTACAAGTTGTTAACAGCTTGTTCCAAACTTGTTAAAACAAACTGGGAACAAGCAGTGCGAACACAACTTGTTGACAGCTTGTGAACAGATTTGTAGCAGCTTGTTTGCAGACTTGTTACAACTTGTGCGTTTTTACATGTGAGTTCGAAGTCACTTCGTAATGTAAATCACTCACCACGATCTGTAGCACTTACTCTTGATCTCGAGAAAGTACAAATCCTTACCGTTTCAGTCTGAAACCAGTTATAAAGCTCGGCTGCTATTAACAGGGTTACTTCCTTTGTGCTACTGGCATGAGTACCTGGATTTGGTATATTTCTTCAAAGCTCTGAAGTCAAATGAACCAAACATTGGTGTGAAGTCTACACGCGTAAAAACGCACAAGTTGTTCCATGCAGAGTTGTAGACTCGAGTCGTGTGACTTGGACTCGAGTCGCAATTTTTGTGACTTTGTGACTTGACTTGTTAAAGAGACTGATGACTTGTGACTTGACTTGGACTTGGACAAAATGACTTGTGACTTGATTTGGACTTGCAAGAAATGACTTGTTTACCAACGCAAGTCAAACGTAAATATCTAGTGAAAATCAAGTTTTCCAAAATCTTTGTGTTGATCCATCGATCGTCGTGATGTACAATTTGGGCAACGACCTCAGTAGATATCAATGGCATCGACAGAATTTGTGCCGGCGTATTTTCTGACAAATCGTTTTTTTCCCGATTTCGTGGTAAAATTTCTGATATAAAATAACGACGCCATATTTACATATTTTGCCGTTTTGCGTGGGAAAACATGGCCACATGTGGCGATAAAATGACTTGTGACTTTACTTGAATTGACTTGCCACTCGGAATGACTTGTGACTTGACTTGGATTTAGACAAAATGACTTGTGACTTGACTTGAACTCAGACCAAATGACTTGTGACTTGACTTGGACTTGCAGGAAATGACTTGTGACTTGACTTGGACTTGCAACATAGGACTCGTTAACAACTCTGGTTCCATGTAAAGTTGTGTTCGCACTGCTTGTTCCCAGTTGTTGTAACAAGTTTGGAACAAGCTGTTAAACAACTTGTAACAAGCTTGTTGGCATTATCAGACTTGTGACAAGGTTGTTCTAACAAGTCTGATACAGACCTGATAAACAAGATTCGGTTTCGGTTACAAAGTTGACGACACAAGGTTCAGAGGCGTAGCCATGATTTTTGGTCAGGGGTGGGGGGGGGGGACAGTAAGAACCTAGGTGGGGCCAAGCCGCCAGTGACTCGAGACGCAAAGTTCGCGCAAGCCATTCTGTGCAGTGCTGGGTAAAATTAATTGTCGACACATGTGATTTTTCACCGAGCCCGCGTTAAAACTTCACTGGTAAAAAACCAGATTGGTTTAAACTTTATCTAACCCTCCTTTAATACATATTGAAATAATTAGGGTTAGAAAAGGTATGTGTTTCAAGCTGTGTGCCGCAAATAAGCGAACAAGCAGTTTAGGTTTCACACTGATGCGCAGCGAAGCATGTATTCTACAGAGTATTTGCGTTATTGACAGCATGAAGCTATATAA